TATTTTATAGTTTATTGTAAATATATTTAACCAATAAATGTTTATCAGTAATAGACAACCAAAATTAGTTTTAAACTCACAAAGCATCGAAACTTTTCTAAAAATTTATTAAAGATTTACTTGCAAATTTTTTATATAGTTAATCGTAATGAATTAAAACAACACGATTAAGAAACTCAATTAACAACAATAGAGAAAGTTTTTAATTGAAATTAATCGATTTCTTCTATAAGGGGTATCTCCTTTTTTACTTTCCTTTGGATTAGAAAGGATGTGAAAATGGATAGAGGAAGACAGAAATGTATGAAAAGAAAGAGATTGAAAAGTTCTATCTTCTTTAATTCACCACTTTGCATCCCCAATTTTTTATCTCTTTCTATATATTTTTTTCTATATATTTCTATATCTAAAACTGTATATAAAGAGATTAGAAGGGATAAAAAGATATATAAATATAAAGTTATAGAAAGAGATAAAAAAATTGTATCTCTTTTAAGTATCCATTTTGCATCTCCAAACTATTATATTTTCTAATCTTTTTTTATCCCCTTTTTTTAATCTCTTTACTTCCAGCAGGGAAGTTATTTTTCGAAAAGTAGTAGATGTAATTGTGTACATAACCTATAAATGTATGACAACCCTTCAACATAAAGCAAGTAAATTTTTTGTAAACAAAATATGCAATTGTAATTTATTGTTTGATAATTTAAATCCCTAATAAATCTTTATTTGGTTTTGTTTAATTTAGACGAATAACGTTCATAATGGATTTTTTTTCACACAAAATTCCGCATCAACAACAGCTCTGACGTTGCTTACAACTTTTCAAAACAAAAGTTAATTAATATTTATTTACATGGTTATTTATCAAGAAAATATATCTTTCTATTGTAAATTATTAAAAAACAATATTCATCTAATAAAAACTTGATTTTTCTTACTTAAAACGTGTTAATTCATTTTAATAAAATATAAATCTTTAAATTCCCGCTAGAAACAGTTTTTCCATTATATCGGAAAAGCAAAGTGTGAACGCGATTTTGACTTTTTCGGTAAATTTTTTTTCTACCGACCGTCGTATAAATGTACCCTCAAGGCCAACGCACAGCTGCTTCGCGAAAGTCGTTCGCGAACGAGACACATGAGATAGACAAGGACACAAATATATCTCTGTCCTTTTCTAACTCATGCTTTGCGTTCGCGAACCTATTGTGCTTAGGCCTTTATATCACATGCTGGACATAGTGATTAAATTTTCCTACGTCGGACGTAGTAAATTTACACAAAACTATTAAATTACATAGTCGTATAATGTAAAATTATTAAAAATAGTAAAACTACTTTGGAACTTAGTAAATTTACTACATCCAGCCTATAATATTGCTGTGTAAAATTACATTCAGTATGTTTTAAAGGCGGTTCCAGAATAGGTGCAAAAGGCAAGGTGGAAGTACAAGTGCAAGTGCGATTCCTATACATTTAGCATTGGTTCGCACTTGCACTTGTACTTCCACCTTGCCTTTTGCACCTATTCTGGAACCGCCTTTATACACTAGAATTTTTTACAGTGTATGTGTGTGGATGCATTTATTTGGTAGACACATTCTTAAGGCCAAATCGAAATGTTTTTTTAACATTTCGATAAAAAAATACTTTTTATTTCTCATGAAAATTTTATAAATTTTGAACCTTTTTTAAAATTATTAAATTTCAATTATTATTAAATTGTTTTTAATCAAAAATCTTTTTATTTTTATTATAAATATTTATAAAAAGACAATAAGTAATTGCTTAAGTCATGTAAAACCTTGACTTGAAATCATAACCTCAATTCGTTCAAATAAGTTCACCGGCAATGTCAAATAAAGGCCTAAGCACAATAGGTTCGCGAAAGTCGTTCGCGAACGCAAAGCATGAGTTAGAAAAGGACAGAGATATATTTGTGTCCTTGTCTATCTCATGTGTCTCGTTCGCGAACGACTTTCGCGAACCTATTGTGCGTTGGACTTAAGTAATAAGTATCGACTATGAATCAAGTCCAACGCACAATAGGTTCGCGAACGAGACGCATGAGATAGACAAGGACACAAATATATCTCTGTCCTTTTCTAACTCATGCTTTGCGTTCGCGAACGACTTTCGCGAACCTATTGTGCTTAGGCCTTTAGGGATGGACGATACCTCAAAAAAGAATCGATTCCTAAGAATCGATTCTTTTCAAAAAGTATCGAGGAATCGAGTACAATACTAATAGCGTTCTTTTTGAATATAAAATAATAAAATAAAAAATAATAATAAATAATAGTAATTAAACATAATAACAAAATGATATTAATTTAAAATCTTAAGTAATTATAAAGAATGAAAGCATTTTTAAATAAATATATTATAAATAAATATATTATAGTAAAATTTCTTTACAAGATTTCAATCCAAATTTTTATAGGTTATGATGTGTTGCAAAAGATTTTATTTCATGAAAAATGTTAACACTACAATTACTAATTAAAATAGAAATGTTATTTTTTATAATACATTATTATATAATATATTTTAACATTTTCTTATCAACATTTACAGTTTTCATCCTTCACATTTATTAATTAAGTGGAAAAAAGCACTCAAAATCAAAAAAAGTTAAAATCTTTAAAATTAAAAACACATTACTCGATTCTCACACAAATAAGAATCGAAAAAAGTATCGATTGTCAAGATGGAATCGGTGCGATTCCAAACAGCATCGAGTAGAATCGTCCATTATGAATACCGTCCATAATGTAATAATACATGTGGGACATAGTGACCAAACTTTCCAATGTTAGACAACGTAAATTTACACAAACTTGTTAAATTACATAGTCATATTATGTAAAAATACTGTAAATAGTAAAACTACTTTTGGAACGAAATAAATTTACTACATACAACCTATAATTTTGATGTGTGAAATTACAAGTTTCGTGTTATTTTACACCAACTTTTTACAGTGTAAACTAAACACAAGTATCTCAATAAGCTGCAGCGCAAGAGAGACACCTACTGGTGCTAATATCGTTTTTTCTTTCTATCAAACAGACGCCTCTGTATGCACAGACTACCCTACTCTATTTATATTATCTCATGGGTACGGAAGCTTCTACGCGCCACCCTGCGGCACTCACTCGCTTTACGGGGCACAAGGCAAATGTCGTTTGAAGCACCCTGCTAGTGAATGCCTTGTACGATGCCTCGGTGTGTGCCTCGTAGGGTGCCTCGATGCGTGCTTTGTGCGACCAGTGTTTTGAAATTTTAAACGGCTTTAAATGTAAATCAGAATTCTCAAAAAAAAAAAATTTGACTAGTTCAGGTTAACCCTCTGCTGATGCTAACTTATCCCCACTCTATCGCCAAAGAACGTAACTCCCATAGTAGTAGTTCTGGACGCCACCAGGCGTCCAGAATGACGATTTTTGACGATAACGGTCGTTAGCATCAGCAGAGCGTTAAATTAATAGCTAATTGCTGTTAATATTTATAAATTAAAAAGTGTAAATTTTAGAATAATTGAAGGGTGGCATGACAAAAGGGAGTCAGCAACAATTTTTCCAAATTGAGATATTTTTAGAAAAAAATCAGGTAAATTCTTTTACACAGTTCTGTAAGAGGATTTTCTTGTAAATTGTTTTTTAAACTCGTTTTTAATAAAAATAAGAATAAGACAATAGCCTACATATTTTTACTTACAATGCAATTCAGTTAAAAAACAAAAGAAATGAACATTATTATGAATAGGTTAATATCGTTAAAAATACTTATTTCTTTTTTATATCATTAAATATATATTAAATTTCTCTGAAAAACTGTATGTCTATTTAGAAATAATTTTTATTCTTCATCTAATTTTCAATAATTTAAATATTATTCTTCTGTTAATTTTTAAATATTCCTGTTTGTAGTTTACATTTGATAATTTCTATACTTTTTACTTTCAAAAATTAACATTAAATTAACAATTTTCTTGAAAACAAACAACTTTTTCAAAGCAAACTTTTTTGCATTCAATTCGTCATTTGAATATTAAAAAACTAATTTTTTAGTTTTTCTTTAAACTGTATATTTTTTAACAATTATAATTTTATAACAAAATATGCGCATTTGACGTGACCACAAAATAGTACACTTTTACTTATTTTTCTCACTAATATGTAGGTTGTAGGTTTATCTTCATAAATTGTATTTCTACTGATTGAGCGAAATAGTATTTCCAAACGGTTTTTTTAGATTTTTCTTTAATGATCAGAAAAAATTTTTAATGTGTTATTTTCGTTTCCTGTAAAATCGTTAAATTGTTGCTTGACCATTTTTGTCATGCCACCCTTCAACTACAAATTTTGTTGAATCTTGTTTTAGATTGTAGTGAGGGTGTTGAAATGTTTCTTTTACTTGAGTATAAAATGTCAAGGTTATGTTTTCACCATTTTCACCTACCAAAAAAGTTATTTATGACAAGCTGCAAGTACGATTCAATATATTTTTATATATGAGGATTGAATTTAATAATTATTCAAGATGTACATATTTGCTTAAAATTTTTAAGGCAACTAGAGGTTATATAACCTATCTCTCAAGTTAAAATACATTGCAACACCCTCACTACAATTCAAAACAAGATTCAACAAAATTTGTAATTATTCTAAAATTTACACTTTTTAATTTAAAAATATTAACAGCAATTAGCTATTTATTTAACCTGAACTAGTCAAATTTTTTTTTTGAGAATTCACGCATCGAGGCACCCTACGAGGCACACACCGAGGCATCGTACAAGGCATTCACTAGCAGGGTGCTTCAAACGACATTTGCCTTGTGCCTCGTAAAGCGAGTGAGTGCCGCAGGGTGGCGCGTAGAAGCTTCCGTACATGGGTGATGTAAATGTTTTTAACCGACAGAGATACAGTCGATAATGGAGAATTTTACAATATTAGTAGTTGACAATTAGTAATGTGTTCTGCAGTAGCAGAAAATTAGTTCCAATGTTTGGGTTTGTCGTTTGTGGTTATTTTACTTTGTTTTATTATTAAAAAATGTAATATTCAATTAGATCAGATTATGATTACAAGTACTAAATAGTAATTTCGCTAAGTTTTGTAAATAAATGAGAATCGATTGTGTTTATATGTGAGTGCAAATCGCTGACTCTAAAACTGAAAATGTCTTCAAAGAGGTACACTTTTATTTTTACTCTTAAAATCTTCAAATACGTTTAGTCACAATGTTTAAAAGAAGTGCCGAAAAATTTGAGAATTTTATCGTAACCTCAATAATAGTTTAATGTCTCTCTTTCTTTTCTTAAATAACTTTCAATTTGAAATTCAATCATATGTATTAAGTTAACCTGCATTTTCGTTTACAACTTTTAAAATAAAATTTACTATTTTTCAAGTAAATTTCATTTATTTTCTGTATTTATCAGAGATGAAAATAATTTATTTTTAAGGAATTAATAATTCTAGTATTTATTAAAATTGCATTAATTTACAAATAGTTGCCATGGGTAAAAATTTTCTATTAATTATCAAGCTCCTTTTAAACTTACTCCTTGAAATACATACCATACTTGAGAATTTAAAAATAAATGAGTATATGTTTTACTTGTTAAAATTCTTTTTCTATTGTGCATCAACATGGGTTATAAATATTTTTGGAGCAACAGCTTCAAAATCAATAACCAATTTACAAAAGATAAAAATAGAATAGCGTGATTTAATTTAGTTAATCTGGAGATGTAAATTAATAATTTTTTATTAATATAAATATGCTGTGAACAGTAAGAAAAATCTTTTAAATTAATATAAATAATTTCAGATATTTTGAATAAAAAATAACCTATAATTTGTGACTAACTTAATTTTTTCATTTCCTCATGAATTCGATTTATAATCACATTTATTTTCAAATAAATTGAGTTTTACATTCAGATTTTTTTATTTCCTTTCATAATTACTGTGTTTAACTTATTTAAAAGCTTAATTCTTTCGTTTATCGTCTAATGTATTTTGTTTCTTATTTACAGTGAATTAAAAAAACTGTCTGAAGAAAGTCTAACAAGACAACCTGAAGAAGTTTTCGACATAATCTGTAAACTTGGCGAGGGGTAAGATAATTTTAATTACAAACTTTTTTATGTAACTTTATTATTGAATAATTTTGTCTTTTCTGTAAGGTCTTATGGCTCCGTATACAAAGCACTGCACAAAGAGAGCGGACAGGTTCTTGCAATAAAACAAGTACCAGTGGACACAGACTTGCAAGAAATCATTAAAGAAATTTCCATAATGCAACAATGTGACTCCCCTTATGTTGTTAAATATTATGGAAGCTACTTCAAAAACACGGATTTATGGGTTTGTAAATTCTTTGCTTTAAATCACTTAAATAACATTTCTCACATGACTACACAGAAATAAATTTTATTCTAAAATTTATCAAAACACATATATTCTCTTCGCTTTTCGCTGTGATAATTTCCTAGTGACACTAATAATATTTTGTATCAGACATAGAATGGCCCAGGTTTAATAATGCTTATTAAATTTTGAAATAAAATGTCCTTCCGTAAACTGAAGTTAATTTTGGTATGGAAACAAAAATTTGAACAAAAAAATGCTAATTGAATGGATGTGATGCTCATAGAAAGATTTTTAACTCTTCAAAAAACAACAAAACATAAAACTAATATTTATTTTAAACAAAATATCAATTTTCAATTTGCTTCTTATTGTTTCCTCATGGAGGAAGGTTAGTGATGCACAGTGGTCTTGAAACATTTTAAATACTTTTGACACATGCCCTTTCCAGTTTTTGCATAAAACCTTTTCACACCACCTACAGAATTGATTTTAACTTAAATAAAAATCGCGTATTGAGCCGATTTTTTTAAAACTTCCTTCAGGAGTTATGGAAGAGGGAAGAAAAGTAAAAAAACTCATTTTTTTCGGAAAGTACATAACCGATTTGAATGGAATTTAAATATGTTATAAATATAGATAAGACAATTAATTTCTACACGGGTTCATGCCATGTTATGGCCTACAGAATGATAAAAAAATCTGGCCCCGATTAGGGCCATGGTTAAATTTCTACACGGGTATAGTAAATTATGTGTTTTCTTTAATATTTTCTAATAGATGAAAATGTGACAGTTTTTACGACTTCATATACTATAGATGCTTATTTTACAATAACTAGCTCCTCCGACGGCCGCAAGCGGCCGTCTACGGTGCTAGTTTTTATATGTCCATTGTCCAAGTCCATTATTTCATTAATAATAATATTCAAATTTTTTCAGTTAATAATTTGCTTATTTATATTTGAAATGTTGACGTTTTTTTTGACAATGCAAAATAAGATTTATTATGAGTACTTTCTCTTAACAAAAATAAAATTTATATATTCGCGCTCTCTTTAAATAACATACGACTGCAGCGCCACCTTCACATGTACAAACAATTTTAAAAACACCCTTCTATTAAGATTTTACATTCTCATTGCCCATTCTTTACTTCGATACTTTTCGATACATTCGACCTTTCCACTCCATGTCTTTTTTAAGAAAGGAATATAAAAAATATTTAAAAAATTCGTTTTGTTCGGTGATTCTAATATCTTTAAAATCATTCCTGCAAAATATTAGGTACAATTTTTTAAAATTAGTCGGCAACGACTTTAGTCGAAATATAATGGAATGACTCTAAATAATAAAATTATTCACAGGTTTTTAATTATTTTTAATACAATATTTTAAATAAATTTCTCGAAACATGAAATTATCTTCAAAAATATTTTGCAATAATTAAAAACAAATAATAAAATTCTTCGCTGAAATTTAAAAAAATTTCAAAATTTACTATTTTAATAAAAGTTCTCAAAAGAATTTAGTTATTTAAATAAAATGTTATCAAGTTCGTTGCAGGATTTCAATTATTTTTAATACAATTTAAAATACACTGAGAAAAATTGCGTTTAACCGAGTGGTAGAAATAGCTCGGTTAAAAAAAAGTATTTAAAAATAAATAAGATATGGTTAAAAGAAACTAAGTTATACTGATTATCACAACCGAGCTGAGATGGTTAAAACACATCTGTTAAAAATAATCCTCCAAAGGATTGTCTTAACCAATCTGAAATGTGCATAATGGAAACAAACTTTCGTGGTTGTTGTTACCTATCTGTTTTTTGAATATAAACAATTACTATGCGATTAATATTAACCGAGTTTCATGTAATTACGTTCAGTTGTGAGATTTTAACCGAGTAAACATATCTAGGCGACATATCGTCAGTCACAGTCAGTCAGTCACTTCGTTTCGTCTTTTCCGGAGAGTCGTGTTGTTACAATTCTGGTTTCTACCGACGCGATACAAATTTTTATTGATTATGTTACAGCAGCCATCAAATATAGAATTCATCTACAATAGATACATAAAAATAAAAATGAAATGGAGAATATTAAACGCATTAAACCTTACATCCCCGATGACATATTACATGATGCACGTTAAAGAGGTTAAAAGTATTTTATTCTATTTGAAAGAGATTTGTTTGATTATAAAAAAGAATTTTAATTTACAGAAAATTTTGGTTATCTTTAAATTAGAACATAATTTTTTAATCAAATAGATTTCTTTTCAATAAAAGAGAATAATTTTTATCAAGGAATATTTTATTGATCAAAAAATATTTTAATCGAGTTGGGTGGTTTAAAATTAATTAATCGGTTTCTTTATTATAACAGAGCTAATTGACTACAATATTCAAGTTCATATATTATTACTGTAGCCTTTTTAGGTGGCTACAGTAACCGAGTAAGTTAACTAACGTTTACCGAGCATTAATCATAAACTGTTAGTTACAGTAACAGAGAAAGAAGCTACCGTAACCGAGTAGTCTTAACTAGTTTCTACCGAAATTTTTAATCGTATTCGATCGGTTACTGCAAACAATTCACATTGCAAGTGCTATATTAGCAGCATCGCTCGGTTGTTTTTAACTAAAACTTGGTTATATTTAACCTTTTATTTTTCTCAGTGTAAAATCCTTGAAAAATAAAATTATTTTCTTAAATTTTTTGCAAGAATTTAATTACATTTCACGAATCCTATAATTTAAATTATTATTACTTTTATAGTGATAAACTCCACCAAATATTTTTTCAAAATTTTGAAAATTACCAAAAATATAACATTTTCAAAAATTGTGTCTTTTTTTAAACTGCTATAACTTTGGTTCTAATTAACCAATTTTGGATTTCGAAAAAAGGATTTCTTTGGTTTTAAGTATATTTTAAATTAAAATTAATATAAAAAAAAAATTCAAAAAATTTTTTTTTGAAATTTTGAAAAATTAAAAATTTTTTTTTGAAAAAACATCATCTTTGATTTTTCAAAATTTTACTAAATGTTAGGGCAAATGTGCTTTACATGTCCTGTAAGTTTTATCTTGGGATCTCAAAGGGATTCGGAGTAAAAAAATATAACGTAACCATATATTACGAACATATGTGGCAAAATTCCTCAACTGCCCAGGTCAAAAAATGAATTTTCTCTAAACTTTGCTAAAATGTTACTATTATTAGTTGAAGTGTAAATATAAATTTTTTTTGAATTTGATAAAATATTTTTTGAGCTATGGAGTTTCAAAATTTTGATTTTTTTGAAAATATCTTTTTTCGATTTAATATAAATCGATATAGGAAAAGTTGGTAAATAACAACAATAATTTGTTTAAAAATTGTTTAAACATTTTTTATTCAATTTTTATTCTTTATTAAAGTTTTATTTAAATTGATTATTATGCAAATGTTTAATTATTTTCTTGCAAAAAGCATAAAAAGTGACCATTCCCCTCCCCTTAACATCTAAACTACTCAACATAAAAAGCTAAAATTTTGCATACTGCTGTATTTTAACGCGAATATTAAAGGAAAAATATAGAGAACTTGCTTTGTAATAATGGCCATAGCGTTGTCAAGGAGAAACTAAAAAATTTTTGAAAAAACGATTTTCCCCCTTTTCTATATTATTTGACCTAATTTTCAAAGAAGTACTGATGAAATTAATTGGAAAATCTATTTGATATTCACAGAAAGTAAACATAAAATTAGGTTTTATAAGAAGTTCAATGTGACTTACATACATTCTCTAAAGTGTCCGGACACTTTCAGGTTTTTAGAAAATTAAAGTTTTTTAGAAAATGAAAATACTGAGTCAATAGGTATGTTTTCGTTGCCTGCACTAAGTGTAACTTTTACACCACCTCAAGAGTAGGTGCAGAAAGTGTAGCGAAATGTATGGTAAAATTACGTCACATCCGGCAAAGAGAACAGCATAGTGCAGGTTAGGTGTTAAAGTGTAAGAAGTACAGGCAACGAAAACATACCTATTATTTCCAAAATAAAAGTTAAACTATATTATATAAGTCTTGTGATTTGTTTCAATATAGTAAAAACACATTATTATATTAGGAATTAAGATACCATTTCCCCTACTCGAAGACTCTCAGAATGATATGAAAAAATATTTGATGGAGATCTATTTAAGGGGTAAGGCCACTGTAAACGCCAAAAAACCAGTTTTCCAAAATTTTTTTTTGTTGGAAGGAAAGGAAATACTATTATAATAATGTAGTCTGTTATTAGTCATATATTGAACTGAAAAAATGTAAATTTTCAACAACAAAAAATACAAAATGGCGGAGTTACGGACATTCTAATAAGATGCTTTCCCAGTAAAAAAAATTCGATACACGGACCGCGGAGTTCGTATACGAGCTCGGTAGCTCGTATGAGAAATATGAGAAAACTCTCATACGAGCCTTTTCCGTAATGAGAAGTGTATAGATGCTTGTATACGAGGTGACTTTTAAAGCATTTTTCTTAAGGCTATGTCCAAGTTGTGAAATGTAAACAAACCAAAAGGTTACTATACCAGCACTAAAATCGCAATTTTCCGACAGCCAATTCTCCCACAAAAAATAACAATTTTACACTTTCTCTACAAAAATGGAAAATTAGAGTTTCAAAATGTCCAAAAATATCATGTTTGGCTATGAGCAATAAAAAGCAATTAGTAAAATAACTAATTAAAATGACCTGTAAACAGCATTTTTGACGCGACGCGAAAAATAAACTGTTTGAGTATATCAACCGCACGGATGATGAAGAAGTCTTATGTCAGCGATTGGACCTTCAACAGGTGGAAGGGTAAATTTTTCCCTTCCCTCCTTGAAATTACAAGAGAAAGGGTAAAAACTTCTTCATCGTCCGTGCGGTTGATATAGTCAAACAGTTTAATTTTTCGCGACGTGAACTCTGTTGCTCGCTGCGCGTGCGCAGACCGTACCAAGG